TGGAGGCCATTGCTATTAGAATGGAGGCCATCGCTAGTAGGTTGGAGACCATTGCTCGTAGCTAGTAGGTTGGAGGCCATCGGCTAGTAGGTTGGAGGCCGTCGTTAGGCCATCGCTATTCTTGTTGGCTGCGGTTGCACGCTGCCCCTTCGCACCAGTCAAGTTGCACCGTTTTTGGTGTTGTTTTCTTTTGACCCCGCCCTTCCTTCGCCAATTGGCATACCGGTTTGCGTTCATTGCGCCTTAAGGGAACTTGAAGGTGGTTGCAGAGTTGGTGTGTTGCCATTCCTTCCAAGTGATCTGCAAATAAATAGAAATCAGTTGATTTTGTCGCACATTTTTTCTTTCCTTTGTTGGATTTTTGAGAGATCAGTCAGAGCTCCACAAACATGGCATGCCATCTCAGGCCATGTGATGAATTCCACGTCGATCTGAGCATTGACATGGGACCAACAGTGGCTCGGAAACCTTGAAGTCAAAACGGTTTAGTTTTGGACTTGTGGTGCTGTACTGGCACTTTTGCAGTGTCCAAAGACATTGTGTTTTGCTCTGCACCTATGTCCTCGAGACATTAGATGTGGAGCCCCCGGAGATGGCTGGGCAACACCCAGTCAGCTCTTCTTGAATTGAAACTCAGCAGTTTCACTGCTGGAGGAACCTTTGGAACGGGGTGAGGGGCCAGACACGGTGCAGGATGTTGTGTAAGGAGCCTACCGACACGCGGAACAGGCTTACACGGCGCCTAGCAGTGTTACTCTAGCGATGGAAAAGTGGAATTTGCATGTTGCTTCTGCGTGATCACGTGAGCGATAGAGGGCTACAATTGTTTCCAAGTTTCCAAGTTGAATCACCGCCAGGTGCAAAATGGACGACTCAGTGTGACACCCTATGAGACAAGCAGGACCTGGTTGAACAAAGGGATACAAAGGGCACAAGATTCACTCCAAACAGCAACAAACTAAATGTTTCAACCGCGAGTGATGGCATGTCCTTGCGCGTCTTGAAGGACAGTGAATATCAAGATGCGCTGGCGTGGTCGCAAGCTACACGAGGCGATCACAGTGATTGTCATAGTCGTACAGTCGTACACTGGACTAATAGCGATGGCCTCCAACCTACTAGCGTCCTTGCTCCTAGTAGCGATGCCCTTTGCTCCTAGTAGCGTCCTTTGCTCCTAGTAGTAAGGCCAGGAGCCCCTAGTAGCGTCCTTGCTCCTAATAGCGATGGCCTCCAACCTAATTGCTTGAATTTCTGTGAGAGTGGAGCGTACAGTAGCAGCGTAGCTGAACGAAAGGTCATGGGAGAATTTGGCTATGACCATGACTATGTGGCGACCTCAGGTGAAGCCTCAAGACTACAGGTTTTTCGGCATTTTTGCATGAGGGGAATGTGCTTCAGTAGAGGGAGAAAGAGCTTGATGGCTGTAGACCACTCTGACAGTTCGACAATTGCAAAATCCTTTGCTCAATCAGAAGTCGACGGCAACACATTTCACCAAAAAAATAGATAAGCCATGGGCCATGATAAACTTTTTAGATTCAATTCACTTCGGATTATTCGATTATGCTACTTGAGGCCTTGGATTATTCCTTGCCCCGCACAGGTGGAAGAAGCAACGCGGGCAGACCACCTTCAGCTGAATGGCCGTCATTGTGAACCAGCAGACGTGCTTGCAGCTCGGCTGCCCTTGGAGCATCAGCCCCGCATTCAAAAGGCATTCAGTTCTACAATTGCACGCACCATTGAAATGCGACGAAATGCGGATTCTGATAAATTTGCAATTTGACTGGAGTGTCCCATATTTGTTCCCTAGGAAGATAGCAACGAGAAACGATGTACATGTGGTGGTAAGTGATATGTTTAAAAGGACTTTTTAACGGGCCGCTCTGCCCCTCTACCTAGAAGCGATGGCCTCTAACTCTAACCCTCCCGAGGAAAATGGAGATGTCTTGAAGCACAGCTACCTGGTGCAGGACGCACTCGGCCACAGTGAGTCACAAGGGTCGCCAACAATCACCGTCGGCTGTAGGAGCCAAGCGTAGTGGAAGATCCAATCCTCGTTCTGGCAGAGAATGAACACGTCTGTTCCTTGGTACCTGTTTGCAGTTTGGAGCTCCCTTGTCAAGGTTTGACAGCCTTGATGGTTGCAATGACACAAAAGCGAAGCTTCTGAAAGCTTCTGAATGCTGTTTGTTGCCTTGCTGTAGTTTGAGGTTTTGGTCGTGAAGAAACCAGCAGGTTTGCCATGCCATCCGCAGGCACAGGGACACCAGACAGAGCACAATATTTTGGGTTCATTGTCTAAGCCACGCTGAGCCATATTCTAGTTATCCAGTCGTCCCGTCGAAAGAGCTTGACAAGAGCTGGCGTTTCTGGTTTTCGGTGCCTTGATCTGATGTCGTGCCTTGGGGAAGAAACCTTTCATCACACTATTATATGAATTTCTCTCCTTGCCGCTCCGTTCCATTCCTTTCCTTTCGAACATGTTGCCCCCATGCTAGCACCATGCCACACTGCTGAGAAGTTCTGCACCTGTGTGAATGATTTGGGTCATGAGTCATGATCATTATGATGGGCAGTCTAGACTCCAGACACTGCTTCTTCAGTCAGTCAATGAGATTCAACGAGTACAGAGGGATATGAAGCTTTTGTTTGATTCTGGGGGGTTCCCCGACAGGGCAAGTACCAGCGATGCTCCTTGACAGAGATCATACGTGCTTCACATTTGGAGGACGGGCAAGACTACTGGTCCATAACAAGCCAAGAAATTCAGTTGGAGACCATCGCTAGTAGGTCGGAGGCCATCGCTAGTAGGTTGGAGGCCATCGCTAGTAGGTTGGAGGCCATTGCTATTAGGTACAACCTTAGTACAACTCCGTTCCGTCTTTCCACAGATCTAACAGTTCAGGACAAGAGTTCCTACTTGCATCCAGTGAATCGATTGGACAGACAGACATCAGGCGGCTGGGTTTCTTTATTGTCACGATAGATGCATTACATGGATTTTCATTAAGTTGACAATGTGTACAATCCCAGGAATCTAAACAGGCACTAGATTGGAGACTATCGCTACTAGAGTGGAGGCCATGGTCGGCCATCGTTATTGGAAACAAACAAGAAAAGGAAGCAAGGTCTAATATCCTGTCGACACTACGGTGTCGAGTGAAGACAGTTTCGACTTGAAACTCCATGAAACTCCTGTCGTTGCCAAGTCCAATGAGCCAATGCGCCAGGTGTCGTCATTCTGGCCAAATCGAGAAAAGCTTACATGGCTCCTGGGACTTTGATGGCTTCTAATGGTTGTTGCTGGGTCAAGAGTTGTCAAAGTGGTGTTTTGGATGCTTCCGTCCAAGAGCTTACTTTCTTTAGACCGCATTGATATTGCCACATTTTGGCTGAGTTTGTCTGCAAATAAACGGAAGATCTTTGGGCCGTGTATGGTCCAATTGCTGCGCCCAATTTGAATGAAATTCCTACCATTAACATGTGGTAGTTCAGTAATTAGCGTTTTCTTCGGATGAATCACCGGAATCCATTTCCTCAGTCCTCGTTGCCTTTGTGCAAAGGCTTTGGCACAAGAGCATGGCCTGGGCTTGCGGAAGGCCCATCCTTGGCGAAATCCATGTGCGGTCGGTGTCATGGTCCATCGGGTGCATTCCGAAAAAGCATCTCCCCAGGTCTACGTTGCGCGGGTGTGCTCTGAATTGGATTTGATGGCAGCTGCCCGACATTGGCCGACTCTCGGTGGCAGGATTCAGGCAAAGACCAATCAAACGTGTCCTTGGTAATTCAAGAAGCATCAATGTCATTCTAGAAGCTAGTAACAAGGGCATCGCTACTAGTAACAAGTGATAACAAGTGCATCGCTACTAGTAGCTAGAAGCTACTAGTAACAATGTCATTCAGATGCAGCAAGGGTGCTGGCCTAAACCACAGCGGCCATTTGAGTCATTCACTTGGCTTGGTTTCAAGGCAATCAGTGGAGGTGAAGTCCGATGGCAAGGACAACGATTCCGCAACCGAAAAGGCATGGGTGATACGACGATACCATCGAAATCAGTCGAACAAGACCTGTCAACAGAACGGTTAAAACATATTAAGAACATGTTTTCCTACAAGCAGTCAGCTGAACACTTAAGATACTTTCAGGAGTTGGTTTGCAAATTGCCACTTCGTGTGGAGAAGCACGTGGCAAATCAACCGCTGAAGGTGCTTGTCGACTTGAGTGGCTCGTCACAATCATTGACTTGGCCGATCCACAGACAAGATCACACAGATACTAAGCTTGCAAAGTTGTTTGCCGAATCTTCAGGTGACGGCAAAGCAGCAGAAACACGCTTTTACACCTCGAGCAGTGATCTAGTGTTTTGCCTTCTGGAGACTGGGTGCGCGGGCCCAGAACCAAATAGCAAAAGGAACCTAAGAGCGATGGCCTCCAACCTACTGGCGATGGCCTTGGGCACATTTTTTGTATTCGAGGATCATTGTTGCCAAAGCTGCCATATTCAGGCGCACTCATCAAATCCGTGTGCATTTGGCTGCTTTGGGTGCCTTTGAAGCAATATCAGTTGGACGTTGTTGAACGCACCTTAAAGGTATTCACCAAACTACTGGCACTTCCACGTATTTTGTGCGCTGGAGTAAGACAGTCTTGCACCTAGCAGATTTGTTGTAGGCTGCCCAATTGTTGGCGACTCCCTTTATGGTAGCGCTGCGGAGAACGAGGACTCTGGGACATTTTGAGAATGTCATGTTTCATTTGCTGCATTTTGGTGGTTTTCATGTGTCTGGGGTGTCATGATCTGTGAAAGGATAACATGTGCCTCCATGCAGCTGCTTATTCATTGACCAGTGCAACCTCTCTGAAGGTCCGCAGCAAGCAGAGCCTTGAAATATCTTGAAATATACTGCATCATTTTTCAATGTTCCCTATGATTATTCTATGGCTGTCTCTGAATGTGTCAGATTTCATGTCACTGAAACAGCAAATCATTCTCATCTCTCAGAGGCCCTGGATTTGCTTCCGACGCCCGTGCCTGTCACCTCGCAGATCCCAGGCGATCTCGTCGTGTTTGGGACTTGACACATGTGATTAGGAACAAGTGCATCGCTTCTAGTAACAAGTGCCTTACTAGTAGTAACAAGAAGCTACTAGGAGCAAAGGGCCTTACTACTAAGAGCAAGGACGCTACTAGGGGCTCCTGGCCTTACTAGTAGTAACAAGAAGCTAGCAGAAACAAGTAAACGGCGATGAGTCGTGAAGCATCATGTCCCGCTTGGGGAGTTTGTCTTGTATCCAAGTGAGCACCGCAAGAAACCTCCCAAGATGATCTAAGTGAAGGCCTTGTTGGAACTGGGGCGTAAGCAAAAACCTGAAGAGCGCAAGGTTGCGTAAGGGAGTTGTGAGACATGCATGTTGCGTAAGCTTGCCATATGGTTGTGTTTTCATTAGTAGATTCTTAGCACACACCTGTCAAGAAAGGAACTGTATGGACCATGAGAGCTTTGAAACCCCTGGGAACTGACATTTGTGTGCACTGTGTTTCAGGTGTGTGCACTGTGCTTGTTTGTGTTTGCCACTCTGTATCAAACCTTTCTCAAGTCAGCCCATCATAACATGTCATAACATGCCAGGCTCCGTTTGGTGGCGTAAGGTTCGCGTAAGCTCCGCGTAAGCCAACTTTTCATTTGCCTACCCTAGCCCACGGCAGCCAGTAAGTAGATGCTAGTGATCCTCTGCTTCCTCTGCTTCGGAGTCTTAGTGATCATGTGTTTGTCGCCCGCTCACCTGCAAAAAGGAGCCTTCGTGTAAGCATTCCCTTGGGAGTATGGTTCTCGTGTGTGAAAATGCAGATGCGTAAGGTCTTCTTCAATATCCGTGGCGCGTAAGCTCACATTGTGGTCGCGTAAGAAAAACGTAAGCAGGAGCGTAAGAAAGTTTTACGACATAGGGGTATACGACATGGTCTTTGCTCCTAGTAGCGATGCGCCTTGTTCCTAGTAGCGTCCTTGCTCCTAGTAGCATTCTAATAGCGGTGGCCTCCAGCGCGTTGGGAGAGGCCTTTCTGAAATCCTTCCTGGTGGTGATGCGACGACGTACATGAGCACAGATCCGGCCTGGTTTGGGACAAGGTGGCCGTGGCTTGTTGGAGCGAGCCCCATCCCTCGGAAAACGATGATAGTGCGCTGATCCAGGCCTTTGGTATAGATTATATGATTAGACCTCGAAGTCCAAAAACCCAGGGCATTTTATAGGGGACCATGTGGTCACATTTTGCTATAGAATGTAAAACATATTTTACGTTTTAATAGTCTTTTCATTTTACGGTGAGCATGGTTTAGATGTCTATGAATTATATATAGATAGGTTTTAGCATGTTTTAGCAATCGCTCAGCATCCAAGAGATTTCAAGAGTGCAAAGAGCGAGTACTATAAGAACCCATAGATGTCGAAGAGTCAAAGAGTGGAAGAACCAATAGTATCTTGATGTACGTACTATTAGGTTCGAGGCCATCGCTATTAGTGGTGAAACCAACAGTACCTTGATGTACCTTGTATGGGCTTTCACGTGCCAAAGTCTTCCGGGTGACCTGGCTATCGGCATTTGGTGACGTTTGGTGACCTGGACAGGTGACAAAGCGAACTCCGTCACAATTTGGAGCACGTGGTCATTCGCCGGTTTGGCACTTGGCACACTCGTATTACTTGAATCCGAACAATCGTTCCGATTCAACTTGAACCGAAGATCCAAACTCCGAAAGGAAAAGGGCTCCGAGCATCGCTAGAGAGCCGACAAAATAGGCCGGTCGAGAGTCTGTGTAGTGATTCATGGGAACTTGACCGTTGCATTGGTCGAGGTTGCAATCTTGGTCAAATTTGAAGTGGACTTTTCCTTGCACTCTAATTGCAGTTTTCAGATGCCCTTGTGATGAAGGTCACTTCGCCGTTAGCATATTTAGTGGAACCTTTGTGATGGCATCGCCGGAGCAATGCGGAGCGACCTTGTCCTTGCAGAGCTCCTTGGTGGTCGATCGGGTCGATCTCCGTCAATCCTCCAAGCTCGACCGACTTCATCCTACGAGTTTTGATTAAACAACGATGACGATAACTGTGGAATCCATGGTTGTTGTATGTTGTTGATGTTGTTGTTGCTTCCTGTTGTTTCCTGTGGTTTCACGGTTTACCCTGTACATGTTCACTATTTTCACCCTTGCCTAGTACTTTGGCTCAAAATGGCTCAAGATCGAAACAGGTGTGCGCTTGCTGGCGCTCGTAGGTCGAGGCGCGTCTTCGGTTGACTCCTGTTTGCCCTGCGGCTTCCGCATTGTTCCGTGGAAACGCGTCGTTGGTTTCCTCCTATTTGCCTTCCGCATTCTTTTTCATGGGAGCACGTCGTTTGTTTCCTCTCATTCGCCCTTGGGCTTCCGTAATTTGTCGTGGATGCGCGTCGTCGGTTATTCTTGTTGAAGTGCTATGCTGACGCGCTGCGTTTGTTGACACTTTGCTTTGACATGCTCTGGCAACATAGATGCAAAGGTATTGCGCTGAAGTCTTTTGAGGTAACGTTGATCGATGGTTTCATGACGCCCAATGCCTTGAGCGGGAACTTGGCCATGCTGCCGCGCTGCCTCCGACGAGGTTGCGTGCCGTGGCGTTGGACATGACGCCAGACCGCCTGGCACATGTGGTACGCAGCCACGTGACTGGAGCCTTCCTCGTGATGACCGTGTTGGGCCTGCTTGTCCGGAGGACGATTTCAATTGCCACAAGATTTGCCCCAATGTCTTGCGAACACAAGACAAGTGCATCAGAGGACTGTAGAGGACTATACGACCTATCGTTCTGACGTCGGCGTGGTCTACTTGATCGACTTCGGCCTGGCCACCAAAACAGAGTCAGAGATGGAGCTGATATCGAAATCAATTAGCGGCTCCTAGTAGTCTTGGCTAAATCAATTGTCCCTAGTAGCGTCCTTGGTCCTAGTAGCGATGCCAGGAGCCCCTAGTAGCGCTGAGGAAGGGAGGCGACGAAGGTGCCATGCCGTTGGGGGCCGTCGTTGGCGCCGAAAGAGGCGGATGTGCCCACAGATGGTCGACAGGACTGGAGCGCAATTCCCTCTCCAACTTTTAAAACAGCCGCACGCAGCGCAGAACTTTGTGACGCGGGATTCAAGGTCGGGGCTGTGCGCTTCACGGGAATGGTCCAGCGGGCAAGCGTGCTTTACCCCAGCTGCGCTCGGTGGGTTACTTTTGTTTTGTTTGGTTTCATGTGGTTTCCTTCGTTTTTCGCCCTGGGCGTTTGGCAAGACTTTAGAAAGGGCTTGCTCCAAACAGAGAGGTCTTGAGGCCCTCGGATCCCAGCACGCATTTGGGGGCACATTTGCTGCGTTGCGCCGCGCCCGCCACGAAATCTACATAAATCTGCACTTCGAAGCTCGCGAAGCGCTGCCCGTGCCATGTCCAGGTTCACAAATCGCTGCGCCTGCCACGAAGTCTGCACTTCGAGGTTCGCACAATGCTGCGCCTGCCAGGAAATCTGTACTTTGAGGTTCACAGCGCTCTGTGCCAGCCACGAAATCTGCACTTCAAGGTCCACAAAGTACTATGCCTGCCCGTACGAATCGTGAACCTGCATGACGCGAGTAATTATACAGCAACACAGTGGGAAGAAGAGGGGAACAGCAATAAGAGGACATCGCAGATGTCAGCAGAAACAATTTCAAGACACCAACCTACAAGGGCAACTTTGCAACTTCTTAAGAGCGGAAGTGCAAGTTTACTGACTACATCGGCATCGGCTTCATCGACAAAAGCAACATCGAAATGCTGAGAGTTTCGGAAGAAACGCAAGCACAGCTAGAGCAGCAGTTATGGCACAACACTGCAACAAACGCGCGACGAACAAAAAAACCGCGGTTCGGCTTAGCAGCAGCGGTTCGCAGACAATACTAACACGCCTCAAAATTGAAATCTACAGACAACCCTGCCGTAGATTGTCACTGTTGGGCAGCAGGTCAAGGTTGCCGAGGCCCAAGTTCGGCGCAAGCAACTTTGAGGAATCGTAAAAATTGGGAGTTCGATCTCGCGAGGTTCAAACGAGAAATTAAACAAACACTTCCTCTGACGCTGTCAAGGTGGCAGTCCTTCTTAACAGCACCCAGTACGGGAACCCACGGTGTTCATCAAGACACAGGCAGGCACATACGCACAATCGTCAACAGTCTCCGCTCACTACGGTGGAGGACAAACACCAATGGATGTCGATGATGTCGATGTAGACCACAAAACAAAACCAAAGTACAAAGGCAGAGGACAGAGTAAAGGAAACATACTGGAAGAGGTTATCGCCCGCATAGTTCCGCGTACAGCAGCTAAACGAAAAGGAAAACAAAGAGGAATGCACAACGCACAACCAAGTGGACAAGGAAAAAGGTATCTACAACAAAGGAAAGGACAGGACAGGACAAAGGAAAAGTTTGAAAAATAAATGAAAGTGAAAGGAGAACAACTATGCTAGGAGTTGCCGAATGTCAAGTTCGACACAACAGAGATCTCTTTGAAGCGCTCCAAGGATCGGCCAGAAAGTCATGAAGCCAGGACCGCTACGATCGGGGCTCCTGGCATCGCTACGATCGGAGCAAGAGGCTGCTAGTAACAAGAACGCTACTAGGGGAGGTCGCCACTGCAGGAGTTCATCACTGCGATGTGTTTGTTGTCAACCCGCGGTGGCAGGACCTAACGGCGGAATGCCCACGGAGGAACTGCCGGACCACGGCTTCTCCGGAGCACCTTGGTGAGCATGTACTTCATCGTTGAGCGTTTGTTTTGCCAATGATTTTTTTGGCAGGTGGATTCCAATGATCACATGATGTTCATGACATCCGCTTTTTCTTACTCATCCAGCTTGGAGGCCCGGATCTTTTGTGCGCACGATGGGGAAGGAAAATCGGTGAGCCGCGCTGCAAGGTTCATGAAGACCACTTGAGAGCTGATGGATCAGCAAATTCTTTGACATCATCTAGTCTAGCAGATCGATGGTGTTGATTACATCAAGGACAAAACGCGTGAGGACTTGCGGTTGCCACAAGCTTTCAAACCGAACAAGGAAAGGCAGCTTTGATCTCATGCCAGGTCGACCACCATGACAGATCTGAGTAAAACTGCAGATGCCGACACTTTTGAATCGCAGAGTTGCAACAAGGCTAACTGTTTAATTGTAGTTCAAACCATGGAAGTTCCCTGTGCGCTCAATGGACACCCTGCTGCGGCACGTGCCTTACGGACTGTTGCTGAGACTGCATGTTTACATGTGTTTACGAACAGTTGCCAAAATCTTGAGAGTCGCGATGGTAAATGTCCAAGTTGCCAATGATTTTTTCTAGTTCGTAGGACATTAAAGTAAACATGTCTAGAGTCTTTTATAGCTTGATACTGTTCTATTTGTGTTCTTTGTCTGGGACCTTATTTCGCCCTTTTGGAGCTGAAGCCGAGGTGCCGAGGGAGCATGCCGTTGCAAGCGTGTGGACACCAGTTCCAAGTGGCAGCGCCTGACTGAGTACGTGGGTAGGCACTTCCTTTGGCTGTAGGGCACGTGATTGCTGAGGAGAAAAGACCAGGCACGCGGCCTAGATCGAATCGGGTCACATCGTCTATCAAGGACTGGAAAGCATTACAGCATTGAGTTCCAAGCCTGGAAGTGGTCATGGCATGTCATGGCCACAAAACCTTGTAGGTTGGAGGCCATCGCTAGTAGGTTGGAGGCCATTGTAATCAAGGGGGAGGCCATCGCTATTAGGATGGAGGAGTGATACTGGCTGAAGCTGAGGCTGGTGGCCTTTTTGGGTCTGATCCCGGCACTTCATCTTGGACGCCGGAGATGTAGGCGGTGTGATCGGTGCAGGAGTTGTTGGGATTCTGTAGCTTGAGCAGGGCAATGGAGGTATTGGGCTTATACAATCCAAACAAGAATCCTGATGCTCTTTACTTTTGCAACAACTCGCGCAGCCACATCAAAGCTTCATGCGTCCGCAACTTGGCATGATTCATAGCGTCATAGGGGCATGTATGAAAGGGCGGTCTGGAAGTGCTCGCAGCCCACGTATGAGCTTTAAGAGCTCCTCAGCCCATGCTACGCCTGAAGCACCTGCACTTGGTGCTACCACTGGACGGATGCGTCTTGCTCTACCAGCCGATGAGGGTCTCGTGGATTGCACTTCCACCTTCAAGGTACTCGCCCTCCACCTTTCAACCGAAGCCGTCCGTAAACAGAGAGCAAGAAGACAGCGCCCAGGATGGAGACAACGGTGAACAAGCACAGCAAACCTTGGATCAAGAAGGGGTCCTTCCCGTAGAGCTGAGAGAAACATATTTGGTGTGCATACATGTCATGTCAGAGAAAAGACATGGACAAACAGGATGGCTGGAAATCGCACAGTCTCTGGACTTCTTCTGTGCTAGGCCTGGAGCACGTTGTGCTGCAAAGCAGGCCTGTTTTGCCCGTGCGCCTGAATCACTTGACACGTCTCATAACATGGCAACAAATGGCGTTGTGGTTGGTGAGGCTGTGGAAGTCGCGGAAGAGGCAGGTTTCAGTAACCTTGTTCACTTGAAGCACAGGGTTCCAACTGAAGGCTGATAAAAGACACGCTATTAAAACATTGAAACACTTTCTGTTTATTACGAACGCCAGTGTTAAGCTGGAGGTCTTACTGTGAACGAAGTGAGTAACCAACACCAAAATGCTTTTCTGGGGGGATGCAGTGTTGGTGATAGTGATGCTTAAATAAAGGCTTGGGATGCTGAAGACATCGGGTGGCATCGTGAGCATCCTAAAGGTGGATGGTAACATGTTGTTACTAGGAGCAAGGACGCTACTAGGGGCTCCTGGCCTTACTACTAGGAGCAAGGACGCTGGGGACAGCGGGGAGGTAGGTTGGAGGCGCTCTTAGGGTGTGCGGATGGTGGAAGTGGGGAGGGTCGTTTGGATAACCCGGCTGAATGGAGGTGAAAGGGTGGAAAGTGTTGTGGATGGTCTGCGCTTGGCAGAAGTGCGTTGCTGTGAAGTGGGATGGTGTTGCTCCTGAGTGACAGGAGCGTGTGCCACTCCTCCCAAAGATGGAGAGAGGACCTCCAATAACAACCTACCACCATCCGCCGGCTTTCGTTCCTTCCTTCTCAGGTTTTCACATTTTGGTATTTCCGCAAAACAACTGGAATAACTGGAAGACGTCTGTCCAGGTTTGCGGATTCAGTTTTTAGGGGATCTTGAGTTTGCCGCTTGCCGGCATGGTGTTTGAGAGAGCCCTTCTGACTTCTGGCCCCATGTAGGTGCTAGGCTAACCAAGGCCACCAGGGTGAAACATCTTTGGGTTTCGGTTTGGGCCGTTTGATTTCGCTTCAGGCACAACTTGCTGGCCTCACTGCACGTTTTTGTGCAGGGCGCCGTGTGCGTGCACGACGAGCTCGTGCGCAGCCTTGGAATTGAATGACCGAATGCAGCGGACCCAAAACCAACAAGAAACACAGTGTAAACATCGAAAGAAAGCAGTAACAAGTGCCACGCTAGTAGTAACAGGTGCCTTACTAGTAGTAACAAGAAGCCAGAAGCTAGAACAAAGGAAACACAAGAGTTCTTGTTCGTAGTAACAAGGCATAGCTGGGGCGACAATAAGTCAGAGAGTGAGATGAGTCAGATGGTTTTTGAGAAATGCAAGAGAGACTTTGCCACCCTAGTAGCTTCTTGCTCCTAGTAGCGATGCCCTTTGCTCCTAGTAGCGTCCTTGCTCCTACCCCGCCCCCGCGCGCTTGAAAAGGTCCTAGTAGCTTCTTGTTCCAATTCTAATTAAATTCAATTTTGGTTTAAACTATATATATTTAAGTCTATTTATTGATTTTTTCTAATAGCAAACATTGTTCCTAGTAGTAAAGCCAGGAGCCCCTAGTAGCGTTCTTGTTCCTAGGGAGACTTTGCCGCCAGGCTTTCAATCTTGCGTGCAGAGATGTGATGGCGCTGCAAAGGTGCGACGACGCTTCAGTCCTTTGCGCTATGACGCCTCCCTCAAAAGAATTAAAAAACACTCTAGAAAGTATTGTTTGCATTCCGATTCCTTTGGATACCGCCACACAGCACTGGTTGCATTTTTCCTGACATGTGCCAAACAGCTGTACGCTATGTTTGCCCCACCTCAAGCCCTTTGAATTAAGGGGCCCAGGCGAACTGTGCCAACGAAATGACCAACACAGACACGTAGAACATCCAAGCTTCAGCTGTGACTGTGAGGGCCAATACAAAGAAGCTCCGGATGTGAATCCTGGACAAACATGATTTGGATTTTGACGTGAAGTCACTGCACATTCAAGAGGCAGTTCTTCCAACACGTCTAGCCCTTGTTGGAGCCTTGAGTGTACACTTTTGCAAGACAACCTTTCTTGACCTTAGTGACCTTAGTGGGCCCCGCTCTCGATTTGATGGCAAAGCGTCAGACCATAATTCAGGAGAATGGCTCCAAGAGAAGGCGAGAGGAGGGGAAGGATGATCCGATGAGAGGACTTGACGTCGCAGAAGACTTGACAACAGAGACAGTCTTGGAGACCTACGACGTGAAGACTTCGGGTGGCAATTGTGTTCATGAGTGCGTGCGACCGGCAGAAGCAGCTGGCCAGCCAACGGCAGCATTGCCAAGTACTCCGGCAAAAACTTACAGTTTTCAGTTAGATGCCTTTCAGCAAGAAGCCGTGAATTGCTTGGAGAGAAGAGAATCTGTCATGGTGGCAGCGCACACATCTGCTGGCAAAACAGTCGTCGCGGAGTATGCAATCGCCATGGCACTGCGAGACAAGCAACGCATTATCTACACTTCTCCCATCAAGGCCTTGAGCAACCAGAAATATAGGGATCTGCAGGATGAATTCAACGACGTGGGTTTGATGACGGGTGATGTAACCATCAACCCTCATGCTTCCTGCATGATTATGACGACTGAGATTTTGCGGTCTATGCTGTATCGAGGTTCCGATGTTTCACGAGAGATGGCTTGGGTTGTTTTTGACGAAGTGCATTACATGCGAGATCGAGATCGTGGTGTGGTTTGGGAGGAAGTGATGATCTTGCTTCCAGATTCAGTCCGACTTGTTTTCTTGTCTGCAACAATCCCAAATGCCAGGGAGTTTGCAGAATGGATCTGCCGAATAAAGCACCAGCCATGCCATGTGATCTACACTGACAAGCGCCCAGTTCCACTGCAACATTATTTGTTTCCTGCAGGTGGCGATGGAGTGTACATGGTTGTCGATGAGAAGGGTCACTTTCGTGAAGACAACTTCCACAAAGCCTTAACAGCCTTGCAGAGTGCTGCTGACTCAACAAATGTGGACACAAAGAAGATTCAGAAAAAGAAAAGCAAAAGCAACTTGGGTGACTTGGAAAAGATTGTGAGGATGTGTGGTGACAGAGGCTATTTGCCAGTCATTGTTTTCTCATTCAGCAGGAAGGAGTGTGAGGCCAATGCAGTGGCTTTGAAAAAGATGGACGTCACAGATGACGATGAGAAGAGATTGATTGATGAAGTCTTCAACAATGCGATCATGACACTGGGTGATGAGGATCGGGAACTACCTCAGGTGCAAAGTATGCTTCCGCTTCTGCGACGTGGCTTAGGCATCCACCATGGAGGTTTACTTCCGATGTTGAAAGAAGTTGTAGAGATTCTCTTTCAAGAGTCTTTGATCAAAGTCTTGTTCTCTACCGAGACCTTTGCTATGGGTATCAACATGCCCGCAAAGACTGTGGTCTTCACCAATACTCGGAAGTGGGATGGCGTTGAATACCGAATCCTCAATGCCGGTGAATACATCCAGATGAGCGGCCGTGCTGGCCGGCGAGGCAAGGATGATCGTGGACTTACCATCATCATGTTTGATGAGAAAGTGGAACCAGAGGTTGCAAAGGAGATGTTCCTGGGTCAATCCTCCAAGATCTTCAGTGCATTTCACTTGGGATACAACATGCTCATAAACCTCCTCCGTTTGGAAGGTGCAGATCCAGACTACATGATCCAAAGGAGCTTCCATCAATTTCAGAAGGACAAGTCCGCCTTGGAGATTCAAGCTCGGAAGCAAGACCTTGAAACAGAGGTGGCGAACCTGGAGGATCTTCGTGTAGCAGTGAATGATAATAATAGCAGCTATGCATTCAATGTAGATGAAGCGATTGCAGATTACTACTACATCGACAAGCAGTTGAAGAAAAAGATGGATGAAAAGCGTGAGATTATTGTCCGACCAGAGCATATTGCTCCCTTTCTCAATCCAGGACGGCTTGTGTCCCTTGCCGGTGAAACTTTGATCACTTTTTGAACTTGTAGAGACGGTTTAGAAAAGGTCCAAGGAAGGTCGAAGGTTAAAAGCCTAGTGAACACCCTTGAAAGAAACATTGCAATGAAAGAGCAGAGCAGGCGTTCAGACACATAGACGACAAAAACACGCCAACGTCACTACAAGACTGCTGAAGCATGCTGAAGCTGTCAAGGTGCCTGAAGGATGGCGAGACAGATTGGGGCTGGGGAATTCTAATCTCTGCCGCACGGAAGAAGCTCACTGAACAGCACGTTGTATTGGAAGATTCTGAGCCTCAGTGGGTTTTGGACATTTTCCTGCCTTGCGATGCGGAGCTGAAAGATCGACCCCCACGGCCCGACGGCAAAGCAGAGGGCAGGATCCTATCTATGGCACTACCGCTGGTACAAAAGATCAGCAAGATTCGATCGAACATGCCTTCCGGTGTTGCTCAGCTGTGAGGCTGTAGTGATCCCCCTTTTTTGTCTCTTTTCTGCTGGAGGTCCTTTTTTGTTACACGGGATTATTTCATGTGCTGTTGCCTTTAGCAGAAATTGCCGCCTAGCTGCCTTAGGACCCGGATAGTGAAGATTCTCGCCGGGCATTGCTCAAGACTTTGCATCAGATCAAGAATCACAAGAGCTTTAAACAAGGCATCCCTGAGCTTGACCCAGTGGCAGAGATGAACATCAAGACGGAGGACAGATGCATGAACTTGCCAGAATACTGTTGAAACATGTTGAAACGCTGATATTTTGATGAGTAGTAACAAGTGCCACGCTAGTAGAAACAAATGCATCGCTTCTAGTAACAAGTGCCTTACTAGTAGTAACAAGAAGCTACTAGAAACAAGTGCCACGCTAGTAGTAACAGGTGCCTTACTAGTAGTAACAAGATACCCTCGGAAATCGGAAGAAAGACACGAAAGCGGTTTATTAGGAGATGAGCAATGTGATGTCCAGCATTGCCGACCTAGAGAAGAAGTTGGCCACGAACAGCTTTCACGGCCACGAAAAGATGCAGCTGTACTATGATTGCTTTGCCAAAAAGGCAGGTAGTGTCATCGCTACTAGTAACAAGGGCATTGCTACTAGTAGCCAGAAGCTACTAATAAGCATGCAATGTAGGTTTCCATGAGCTTGTGAATGGCTTCGGCAAAGGAGCACTCAACAACACAGTGTGACTTTGTGTAGGTGAAGATGCATGGAGAGGTGCAGGACTTGGAGAAGCAGATCAACCAAAGTCGCTTTATGGTATCTTGGTGATGGAAGCGAAGAACACGAAAGACGCAACACGACACGAAGAAGAAGAAGAAGAAGAAGAAGAAGAAGAAGAAAAAGAAGAAGAAGAAGAAGAAGAAGAACGACGGCCTCCAACCTAATAGCAATGGCCTCCCACCTAATAATGATTTATATATTGTAAAATATAGATTATAGCTTGGTATAGAATCTAAACTGGATAATGGAGGTGTCTCGGTCTGCGTTTTGTTTCGCGTTCTACTCCAGGTCATGAGTGATGACTTGCGAGCCATGAGACGAGTGTTGAGAAGGCTGGGCTTGGAGATGGCCAAACTGCATGAGGGAAAGAAGAGTCTTCGTTTCATTTTGTTTCGTTTTCAAGTGCATCGCTGCTAGGAACAAGTGCATCGCTACTAGTAACAAGTCACTAGTAGTAACAAGAAGCTGTTAGAAACAATAAGCTAGACTTAAAGAAAGACCTTACAGGCCGGGTAGCATGGACGCAGCAAACTGCTCTTTTGCGATGCTCTCCAGGTTGGAATTTATCGACAAGGACGGAGTCGTACAGCTGAAAGGGCGAATGGCTTGTGAGATTACCTCTTGCGACGAAATCTTGATGACAGAGACTCTTGGCATACACAAAGCCTGTGCCGATTTTGTACGTAACTTTTGCTTCTTCGAATCATCAAGTTGCTCCTTTTTTTTTCAATGATACATTAATTAGTCGTCATGTTTGCCGCCATAAAGGCGGTTCCCTTCCGGACAAACCAACCGGACTCTGGACGTCAGGATCGTGTTTCAGAACGTGTTTGCTGATATTGATGCTAACAACATCATTGCTCTATGCTCTTGCTTGGTCTTCGATGAGAAGTCAGAGGATCCGATCACCAATAATCTGGATCTCATGAAAGCTTTTGAAACCTGCAAGGGCATTGCCCGAAATGTGGCTGAAGTAATGGTCCGGACCCGAGAAAAGACTTGACATGGGGGAGGGAGCTGACTGAATAATATTGAAGAGACAATCTTTGCATAGTGCTTAAATGTGCTCCATTGGCAGTGTACATAAGGTGGAAAACAAGATCCCTATTGATGTGGAGGAGTACGTCCAAAAGCTAAAGCCTCAGTTGATGGAGGTGGTCCTGCATTGGTTGGAGGGGAAGCGCTTCCACGAGATCATGATACTTGGCGAGATGGGAACACCATCGGCAATAACTGGCAATAACCACCAATTGCCCCCTAGACCACTAAGCGGTGGTCAACATGGGGGCATGGACAACTTATACACTGTACCCAACTTAGAGAATTCCTCACCAAAATTCCATGCAGTTCTAACTGATATCGTGGTGTGACAGAATGAAGCAATACAATTTAATGTGTTTGATTATATACTGTAGTCATTAGTACTTGATGCAGCAATGCAATATGCTTTTGCTAGTGCTTTTGCTTACTTTGCTTTGCATTTCGCCTAAGGAATCAGTGCAACTTGTACGAAGGCAGCGTGGTGCGGGTGATTCGTCGCCTTGAAGAGCTCATCCGAGAGCTGGCGACGGCGGCCAAGACCATTGGCAACGAGGAGCTGGCCTCGAAACTTGTTCGAAGAACGCATAGCTTTCGAAGAGCCTTTGGATTCACATCCTGAGTTGACCAACCAATGGTTGTTGTTTTTGCTCACGCCCCCCCTAACGGCCCCGGAGAATTTCCACGTTTTCACCATTAACCAAGTTGATACTACGCTGAGGATGGGGTGGGGTGGGGATGGGGTGGGGTCTGTTAACGTTCGCTTGCACTTGCAAACCAAGTTGATGCTAC